TATTCTGAATTGTATCATTGTCTTATATCAGGTCAATCTAGACTATTTCAATTCATTGGCAACATCCTATAGTGTTGGACTTGTGTGATATGATACTATGGATTATTTGGGATTCTATTAACAATACTGCAAGTGTCTCTCATGTCTCTTGTGATTCACGTTCTATTGCAGAGAAATATTTTTTAAATTTTACTTGAAATTTCTGATATGAATTTTTTCAGTTAAATAATTTAAGACGTAACACTTTACAAAAGGTTTTGTTCCCATTTTACCTCTTAGTGCCCTATCGAAAAATTATTTTTTGTAGATTGTAACATTTTGGAATTTGCCTCAGATATGGTAAACAATAGACAACAAAAAGAGTATTAACGAATAAATGATAATTATCATTTGTGATGGTAGTGATAAAAGCTGTAGAGAAAAGATACCAAATGCAATAGAAGTTATGGACGTACCTTTCACAATGCAGGAAATAGAAAATACTATAACCCGGATGAGGAGTTTTTTGTTTTGGTTTATGCTTATTGTTGCATTTGTGATTCCTTCATATAGAACAGAGGTCTCATGTAAGACTTCCGTTTTTAAGACTATCTATGGCAAAACATCAATTATAAATTTACTTACTCTTCTTGACAATATGTTTTGTATTGTAAGAAAGTAACGTGTAGGTGAAATAGAAAGATAATTCAGACTAGGATGGATGTTAATTTTACAAACTAAAACTAAAACATATCTAAACATTTTAGTACAAACTGTTAAATGATCGTTTGAGAGCAATTGGAACCTAGCACAAAATCTACTGGCAGAATGCTGATGAACGAAAATGAGGAAAAAGAATTAAATCATTCAAACTCAGATTTCATTCTATATATCTTTATTTAATTTATTTTATTGAACCCTTAGAGTCCGCCTCTGGTTATTTGCGTATAAACTCTGGTGGTTGCTTGAGTATAAACCCTGGATACTTGCGTATGAATTCTGGTTTTAACAAATCTTCTTGCGAGATGCGTTATACCATGCATGTGTCTTATATTCTTATATTGCAGAGCATGTCATGACGTAAGCATACAGAGAAGCGGAATGTTAAAGAATATGGATATTGCATTTTACCGCTGCATAACACTTGGCGTTAAAATGAAACTTAAGTATAATATCGGTCAAGCGCCAACAATTCTCATTATCAAATTACTCACGATACGTATATCGTTTCCAGATTGCCAAACTAAATTTAAAAACATGGAATAATGTCTGCATTCATTTGAAAATGCCTTAATGCATACAAAAGAGAAACAATAATTTGAATTTAACACAACGTGTGATGATTAAGTAGAAACGGGTAATGCAATTTGGAAAGAAGAATCTGACACAAAATATAAGTGTTTTCGTGTTTGGCGTTCTATGGCACAGCAACACTTGAGGACACACGGCGCTAATTGTATTGAAAAATGGGAACCACTAGAAATGGGTGAACATTGAATAGAGTATATACGGGTTTTGGCTGACCAGGATGGGTTAATAATGTAAGTTATGTTTCAGGGAAAAGAATCTTTTGAGAGCTTCTCTTAGTTGAAAGTGAATAAAAATAGAGATATTGTTTTATTGATGAAATTTCAGTCCTTTAAGAGTCATGAGTTTGGAACAGTCATTACTAAAATTAGCACCTGACTCTTTGATGCGGAATTGAAAGCACATGTTTCAAACATATGCAGTTCCAGAAAATGCCGCGGCTCATATTCTTTCCTCTACACAGAAGCTGAATTCCAGGTTTCATCTATACTGATAGATATAGGTTTGGTCATGAGCACTCAAAAATTTTAAATTATTGAATTTTTAATATCATGGTGTTTGCATAGATTTACTATGGGAACTAAATTAGCACCGTGATTCTTTGACGTATTGCGCCAGGGAAAATGGTCTACCCACCTTTCCAAGGGTAAGATGTTAATCGATATGACCACTAGATTCCCTGTTGTCGGCAATGGGTCACAATAATATCGCAGTAATAAACTCAGGTCTTATTGGATAGTTTCGTATTTTGACACGTCCCTAATTTGTTAGGTAGAAGGCACGAGTCTAAATATCATAAGTCCAGTCTATACACTCACACAGAAGCTAAATCTGTAATATGGTTTAGATTTACTTTAAGTAAGGCTTAAATATTGGGCTGGCTTGTTTGGTGACTTCCTGTCACAGTCAGATTAGCACTGGAGATCAACGGTACTCCAAGAAGTAATGAAGAGATTGATGATGTACCTCTATGCTAATTTCATGTAACTTTCTTGAAATTTCTTTGGATATTGTTCTTGTGGACGTTGTATTTTGATCTATACACTCAGCTGACGAAAATACAATATCTTTAGCAGCTTTATAATTTTGAAAAGGAATTCTGCAGGACAAGGCAATACCAGCTTCTGAAAGTGCAATTAATGAATTACCAAATACGTAAAACTTAAAAAAGTTTTCGGCTCATTTCGTTTTGCAATTTACATCTGAAGTCTAGGAAGTAAAAATGACCAAGCGGAGATAGCAAATTCTTTTTCTTTAAATTCTGACCCTATGCAAAACAAGAAACTGCAGAGCGCCATCATATAAGGTTGACTATCATGAAAAAAAGCAATTTTTGAACTTATTGAAGGTATTGCAAACTTTTAGAGATAAGTTACTCAAACATAAACACAAATATTCTGAGGATATATTGACCCGTTAATGAATAGTTCATGTATAAGTATGTTTTATTTTAAAATATTTTACATTTTGAAATGCATTTAATGGTACAGTTTACATTTCTATTCTCTGCCATGCTGTCGAACTTGATATTTTTAATACTGGCACATTTGGGTCTAAGTACTTGAAAACGGTTGACCAACACCTTAATTCTTAAATTATTTCCAAGTGTATTATATCAACTTAGTTATTCTTAAAACAATGAATTATAAGGTTAAATAAATATCATGAAAACCTAACAAATGTAACATCGATGTATATGGTTTTAAATTTTACAAAGGCAATGTTCTCCAAACTCCATGTTTAAATGACTTACAGAGTGGCCATACACCATACATCGCTCCTGGTTTGAAGCATCATTTAGTGATACACGTTAGCCAATAATAAAAAAGACTTCGTTTCTAACCATCAAAGATATATGTCTGGTACCACAACAAATTAGCGAAGTGACTTCCAGAGGTAAATCGGTAGGAACATTTTCTATGTATTACTACTAAACAAAGCATCCCAATTTTCACTTGGCTTTTTACTGCCATAGTCGCCTTGTGGTTAGAGCTTCCGCCTCGGATGAGAAGTCCCCGGTTCAGTCGTAACAAAGAATTACAAAAATGGTACTAGCAGCTGCCACACTTGGTTCTCAGAATTATGAGGTTAGTGTTAGGACTGGTCGGCCAGTTATCAGGATAATGTGGGTTGGACATGATGCTATATGTCTGCGTTATGATGCCCTTGTGCTAGACATCATTGTAAACTGTTACACTGCGGACATCGTAGCGATATAACTGAACAATTGTTAAAGCTATGCTATAAATCCAAAACGCACACACACATACACCCACACACATACTTAGCTTTTATTATCCCTAACTGATTTCAGGGTTCATGGACCCATTATTAAATATAATATAATATACACATTTACATTAATAAAACTGGACGTTTTAGTTTTATACGTGGCCTGTAGAACAAATGTTTGCCAGTCAAATTTTCAATTCGAATACAAAAGGCAGAGAATGATTAGCTAGAGAATGCAAGATAGACTGGTCATTTGATATAACAATGGCATCATCTTTTGCAGATCAGAATCAACGCTTGTCAAATAAGTTGGCTTCATAAATACTTTTGTGATAGGATGAGTAATTAATGCATTACCAAGACCAAAATGATTTAATACGGACTTTTGCGTAAAGTTACACTCACATAGATATAAGAAATAATATGATCTGTTTTGAAACCAAAGAATTATTTTCTTATATCCTGGTATGATATTTAAATTACAATACGTGCAAATTCAGAGATGACTTTTGGCTTTCCTGCATTTATCCACTAAAAGTTGATCAGGTTTAGTAATACTTTCAATTTCATCGATTAGAACTGCCGCTCGCTAACATCGAGAGTAAGTTTATAAAATCGAATCCGTATGTGTTCACAGTGAGCTGACATGCCATAATCTAACTGGCTGTTGACAAGCTAACAAAGCAGTTTACGATTTTCTACCAAACTTCGCTGAAGTAAGACGTAAAATTGAATAATTTATCAAAGCTGTTCACGGATTTCGTCTTTCCTTAGCGCTTATGTTTTGAATTTTTTTTTTGTTGCCAAAATTCTATGTATAACCGTCCAATCAGATTAGCTGTTAGCTTAGGTGCGGGCTTTCTGGAACTTACATATATCGTGTCAGTTAGAATCATATCACAAGTATTAACTATGGTTAAGTACCCATGAATGTAGTCCCAGTCTAAGTCTATTTTAAGAGCATTTTTACCTCTGTCCTTTTGGTGGTGATACAAGAGCTAGATCTAGGCATTCTTGGTATGGATTTCAAGGTAATTGCTCATTCTTTAGAATATGAGCTTATGGTTTGGTTGTCATTTTGTGTTTCGGCCACAGTGCAAAATGGGTAATAAGGCATTGGTAATGATCCTACATTGAAATCTGTGTTTTATTGCACATTGCTTTGTTTACAGCCCATCCTTTTAGAGAAATGCCGGTAAACCTATGACAAGAATGTCACTGAGCTCATCGGCGAAGGTATGTTACTGAGATATGATTTATTATCATTTGGACACAACGGTTCAGTACTGAGAAATAAAAGTAAAAATTATAAAATAAAATTAATTGTGTTCTGATTCCAGCTCGCATTTAACATTTACGATTGAACATTTTATAAACACGATTCCGATGTAAGCGAGCGGAAGCGATATATAGAAAAGTGTTTAATGAATCAGAGAAAATTCATGTTTTCCCTTGATTTTTACACCTTTCGATACTGAAGGGGTTTCGTGCTATGGTTAGTGGTTAGAGCATCCGCCTCGGATGCGAGAGGTCGCGGGTTCGAACCCAGGCCGAGTCATACCAAAGACTTTAAAAATGGTACTAACAGCTGCTGCGTTCTGCGCTCAGCATTAAGATGTTAGTGTTAGGACTGGTCGGCCTGGTGTCAGGAAAATGTGACTGGGTGGGACATCATGCCACGTGTCTGCGGCATGATGCCTCAGTGATAGACATCACTATAAACTGCCACACGGCAGACATCGTTGCGATAAAACTGAAATTTTTTTAAAGCTACTTTAAAAATCTAAATCACACACACACACACACACACACACACACACACCATCCGCTGCCCTATATATCCACACCCCCTACATTTTATTTAATGACACAAGACCAATGGTATAATTTACTATGCGACTGAAGTTTTGTTTGCTATGTTATCACAATATATAAGTGGCGAGAGAGAAGAAAAACCTAATTGAATCTATTTCCAAAGTATTTTCTACTATACCGTCATTATAATATGCTGTCTAATCAGAATAATATGGCAGGTGAACCAATTACAGCAACAAAAAAATATATGCTATTGCTTAACTTCTGCTTATTTCCGTGCAGAACCAAAATAGACATCCGCTTATTACTAACTAACAACTTCGAATCTTTAAGCACCACATTCAAGATCATTCCTTTTAACTTAACATATACGCGATTCACTATTATTGACGTAACAAACTAATTTTTTATAACATTATGTTACATGAGGTGCTGCAAATCAGAACGCTTGACCAACCTTTTCCAGATTACATTCAATGGTGTATGTGGTAGAAAACGGAGTGATAAAAGTGAAAACGTGTTAGAAACGTCTTGCTTGAGGCGGGTATTTGATTTTTACTGGAGACCAGAATACTTATTTTATTACATTTCTTGCCAAAAAGTAGAAGCAAATCTCCATGGTTAGACAGGCAAATAGTGTCACTTTTATGACTGCAGTGACATTGCTCAAACGAGTCCATTTTCGCCATCTCGTCAAAATCTCTAGTTTTAACAGTCATGTAATCGATTAGCAGAAAAGCGACTATATAGCAGTAGTGGTCAGGGTGTTAGTAGCATCAGTAATGGAAATGTTGTTTTGTAGTAGTGGTAGTGGTCATAACCTTCATTGAGTTGTTAGAAGAATTGTGACTATAGGGGTAGGAGTCATGTTATTAGTAGAATTAATAGCAGAAATATGTCTAAGTCACAAATGCGATCAGCCTTAGCATATCAATAGTAGAAATATACCTTCGTAACAGAAGTCATCGTCTTAGTAGAATCAAGTACTAGAAATCTGATTCCTTAGAGGTAGTAATGATATACACAGAAGAAATCCAGCAATCAGTATTAGAAATGTGGCAATGCGGCTGTGTAACGGTAGTACAATAGCAGTAAAAATGTGGCAATGCGGCTGTGTAAAGGTAGTACAATCAGTAGTATAAATGTGGCAGTACGGCTGTGTAACGGTAGTACAATCAGTAGCAGAAATGTGGCAATGCGGCTATATATCGGTAGTGCAATTAGTAGTAGAAATGTGGCCATGCGGCTATATAACGGTAGAACAATCAGTAGAAGAAATGTGGCAATGCGGCTATATATCGGTAGTGCAATTAGTAGTAGAAATTTGGCCATGCGGCAATATAACGGTAGTACAATCAGTAGTAGAAATGTGGCCATGCGGCTATATAACGGTAGTGCAATCAGTAGTAGAAATGTGGCCCTGTTGCTTCATTGGTCATGGTTTTAATATAGTCAATAGTAAAAAATGTGTCTAAATTGCTATAGTGGTAATGGTCTTAACGTAGTCAGCAATTAAAATGTGGATATACACTGGTGGATAATCTTAGTTAAATTCTTAAAAGAAATATGACTATATATTAGTGGTGGTCAAATTCTTATCAACATCAGCAGTGGGAATGTGTCTCTATAGTATAACAGTAATTGTCATCGGTTTGGTAAATCAGTGGCTATATAGCTGGAGTGGTCACTGTCGTAGTAGAATCAGTAAAACAAATGGTAGCTATCTTAGTAGAACCAGTAGTAGAAATATGGCTTTTAAAGCTATAATGACTACGATCATAGAAAAGTCGGTAATAGAAATGTACTATATAGTGGGTGGTCATGGAATCAGTAAAATAAATGTTATATAATGAAGTTGGTCACGGTTTTGCTTGAATCAGTAATAGAAATGTTGCTACACATTGGTGATCATGGGCTAAGCAGAATTTGTACTAGAAAAGGAACATACGCAGTAACAAAATGGAGGGAAACTTTCTACCACAAAGTTTGATTGGTTTGCTCGATTATTCCTCTATCAGTATTTAGTGGGTTAATCAACATTAGACTGTAACAATGGATATTTATGTTTTATTCGTTCATTTATTTGTTGTTTATTTTGTAATCAACAACTACGGTAAAAGCATCCGTTGCAAAACTTTATAAATATAAATATTTATTTATTTATCTATTTATTTATTAATTTATTTAAATCATGAAATATATATCTACAATTTTTTTATAATTACATCAGTATACTATTACTCGTCTAATTTGCTCTAAAAAACGAGTCTGCTAGATAAAACGAGTGTACTAAATAAAACGAGTGTACTAGATAAAACGAGCTTTCAATTTGAAGCGCATGCTTTGACAGAAATATACTTAGAAATAAGCATTTAACATCGTACTTTACTATGTATTGGATTTTACGGCAGCGTAACACCTGGTGTTATATTTGGCAGTTTTCATAAATTCCCCGTCTTTATGGGCCAACAATTTTTGCTATTTAATTACTCGAGATAGGTTATATATAAGTTGAATACCCTTCCAAAGTTGCATAACTGATTTTTTTTTTTTTTTGGCTAAGTGCAAGGCGATGCTATCATTCAGGTTTTAATATTTCAGTATGATAGCACGTGCAGTTTGGCGCGCCTCAATACCACATGATGAACGGTATCAATGCACCGTTATTATTTCATTGAAAAATCAACTTCAGTGCTGTACACGTATCACATTATAGGTCAGATTCGCAAATGTTTCTTTGGCAGGGTAAGCTGGATTTTGTTTACGATAATTGTTTCAGCAAATATATACAATATATTTCAAAGGAAGTAATACACAACAATTACCCTTTTGGGGAGATGGTGATAATGGCGGTTTAACGCTCTAACCAAAAGTGCTTGACACAAACAAGAATCGGTCAACCAAAACAAGCATTATTATTTTACTAGCTAGTATGTACAGAGATGGTGCCCTCCTGTCACATGTCCATGCGCCAGCTTCAGTTCTGTGATTAGTATAGTTCAGTAATACGATAAAATATGGCGGCCCCTCTTTCTTCTATCGAATAGAATAAACCATTTCTCAAAAACAATGACGATGAACAAGGTCTCATAAAAGTCCAAGTAAAATCAAAAATACTCTTTTTTGCTCTAAGTACGTTACTGGATAATATTTTTTGTCTGGAAGAAAATAGTGTATATTTTTGCTTTGATTTTCCTGGATATATGCGAAGCATTGAAGAATATTACTTTCATTAGGATTGTATTTCCTTAACTTTATCCACTAAAATTTTCAAAAATTGTCAATTAAGGAGGTTTGATATTTGGTCTTATAATCTTAAACACCTGTATTGATCATTTATGTATCCACTTTTTTATTTTCATTCATGTGCTAATTAATATAATTCATAGTTTTTAGAGTCTTCTCTCTTTTCGTACATAAATTTGCTTCTCTCGTTCTTGTGTTCGTTCATTCATTTATTCATTGTTAAGTCTGCCGTTCGATAAGCAACTGATCCGAATCTGCCTCTGTTTGTTCGTCCTTTTACTTGTGCACTACTTTTACATCATAAGACTGATTGTTGAAATAAAATACTAGATAAATCAAATTAGTAACGGCAGTCTAAGTAATAATTATTTAGAAAATAAAATCATCGAAAATATCTTAAGTAGCTTGGTTCTAATGAAAACGATAGGGGCGTTATAGAAATTGTTTCTAAGTAATTTTGCACATAACTTGAACACGACTCTCTCTCTCTCTCTCTCTCTCTCTCTCTCTCTCTCTCTCTCTCTCTCTCTCTCTCTCTCTCTCTCTCTCTCTCTCTCTCTCTCTCTCTCTCTCTCTCTCTCTCTCTCTCTCTCTCTCTCTCTCTACAATAGAATATAACTTCTTACTTAAAATTTAAAATCCTACATTTTTGAGTTAGTCAAGAATCCTATAAAGACCATGAAACGATTTGAGTAATTCGTTATAGTTCGCTATTTTGCCGTACTTTTACGAATCAATATAAAATTGATTATTCTCTATGACGGTGATAGCTAAGATGCAGTCATCATAGCTTCACTGAAAATAATCATGGAAGGAATACATTTCTAACAAGTATGCTTTGCACAATAAAAGAGCGATCAAAAGGAAGGCTTATTTCCTTGTGACTTTTCATTGCGAGAAGTTGTATCATTCGTTAGAAAAATGTAGATACTTTTTTTTTCAAAACGTTTTTACTCGATTAAAATTCGTTTACTCGAGTCCGTTTCAAACAGATAGGAGCATGCGAAGTTACCGAAAAATTCGTCTTAACTTTTTTCGATGCTAGTATTTCACTACATAACAAATTTGTACTCGTATATATTTCCAACCATTCAAAATTGTTAGACGACAAGACCCTGCCACACTATATGCTGATTTTTTTTTTGTAGGCAGTGGATTCCTGGTGTATTCGCACTCTTTGAAACTTTTCTTCTGTTTCAAGTGCATTCAAATTTACTCTGAACAACATATTTTAGTCTGGAATTCTCGTTTGCACAGTTTAATTTGGCAGTACGTCTCCTTTGTTATGAATTTTCCAGAACTATATGATTTTCTGTATTCTTTTCTATTATTCATTCGCACCTACACTTGGCTGGTTCAGTTTAGAAATCAATGACACGTAAGTACACGTCCTGATGACTTGTGTTGCACGTTATTGTTTCGAATGACAAACATGCTGAATCATTTCTTTGCAAGTTATTGTTCCGAATGACATGTCTGCGGGATCATTTCGTTTAAAACCT